TCAAGTAATTTAACATTATTTATTCTAATTTAATTGTTCCAAATCGAATTTCAATTAAACTTACCATAAAATTCTATAAATCCTAACTAGCATATAACACAAGTCAATTTCTGAATCGGTTGCCGATAAGGTGTTCAATTCGTAATTTAAATTCAAAACACAAATAGATCTTCCTATATCGAACAGATAAGAATGCAATTAAAATAACATACTCATGTAATCAATTTAGGATTTCGTCTTAATCAATTACTTATCATACTTAATCACGAGTTAACGCTAATCAGAAGTGAGGGTTGTCACAATTGGAGTGTTACACTAACGCTGTGTTTGGTTGAGGGATTTGGAAAGGAAAAAGAAAAAGATAAGTGAAATATGAATAAAATATATTTACATTTCACTTAATTTCACATACATTTTCTCTTTTCAAATTCCTCCCCAAATTCCTCAACCAAATACAGTGTATGGAGTTTTTTTGGGAGTGTTACATTTGTGAAAAGTACACAAAGGAATTTTTTAGAGTGTTAAAGTTTAAAATTATACATTTGTCCAAAACTTACTAAGATGTTTTTGTACTCTTTTTGAAATGTTTGAAGACTCCTACATCATTTTGAAATGTTTGAAAAATCTCATATTTCATGTCATTTTTATACTCCTTTTAAAATGTTTGAAAATTTGCACATTTCAAGTCATCCTAAATAAAAAATATTTCCATGAATCTTACATTTTCTAGCGCACAAAAAAAGAAAAAAAAAACACACACACACAAAAAAAAAAGAAAAGGGAAAACATAATGAAAATAAAGATATAACCATAAACCCAATTTCTAAATAATATATTAAATTCACATTTCCAAAATTAATGGGACTAATTGGTCTATAAAAAAAAATATTGGGACTAATCAGATTACCATTCCACAAAATGGGATTTATGAATAAATTTTTCTCTATAGTATATTATTATATATGTTTAAATTTAGGGCAATTACACTGATCTCACCTATCTGGAAGCAAATACAATAAGTTTATAATTTTGACATAATTACATTAAGCTCTTTCAAGGTTTTTAATTCACATTAGTTCCTATTTGATCAATAATTTATTAATTATATAAATTAAAAAAATGATATTATTCTCATTTTACATTGAAATCTATATTTTTCTTATTTATTCTTGTGTCTGCACACTATTTGCGTTAGTTTCAATATTTTTAAAATTCCTTTAGCCTTACTAAAGGGAGATTACTGTAATTTTATTAAAAAAAATTATGAGACTATTTATATTTTCTTCAAAATTCATGAGATGTTAAAATTACATGACATGAAAGGTAAATTCTAATTTTAAGGTGCTATATATACATATAGGGTAAAAGATAAAAAAAAAAAAAATTGATTGGATGGTAATACCAATGATATGATATTTGCATTCAAGGTTTGTTTTATTTTTTATTTTATTTTTTCATTAGAAGGCCTTTTGAGTCTTGAATCTGCCATTAGACTGGACCGTTAGTTAAGCCCATTTCTATTAGGACTCTAGCACATTACTTCGGTTTGTGGCCTACAAACGACATCGCCAACAGCCCAATGGGCTTGGTGGAAAATCTATATGCGTTCGGGCTTCGTAAAACACAACACTAACAATCCCTCTTTTTTTATTGGGAGATTGGTCAATAAATCTTATATTTTAAATTTGTAATTTATATAATCTCATATTTTTTTTTATTATGATTTATTTAGTTCTTTGAGATGTGTAATGACTCATTTATCCGCCATACTGGAGTGTCACATTTGAAAAAAATATATTAAGAAATTTTTTTAATGTCATATTATATTCGTTACGTCAAAGTGTCACATTTGGAAAAATACACAAACAAGTCTTTAATTTTTTTAGAGTGTCACATCATACTTGTCACATTAGAGTGTCACGTGTTACATTTAGAAAAAGTAAAAGAATTTTTAATTTTTTTAGAATGTCACATCATACCCGCCACGTTGTTACATTTAAAAAAAGTAAATTAAGGAGTTTTTAGTTTTTTTGGAGTATCACATGGAGTTTGAGTGTCACACCATACCCGCTACGTCATTACATTTTTAAAAAATACACTAAGGAGTTTTTAGTTATCACATCACATCCACTATATGTTGCTACATTTAGAAAAAGTACATTAAAGAGATTTTTAGTTTTTTTAAAATATTACATCATACTCGTGACGTTTGAGTGCCACATGTTATATTAGGGAAAAGTACACTAAAGAGTTTTTATATTTTTAATAGTGTCACATCATACATGCCACGTTATCACATTTTAAAAAGTGCACTAAAGAGTTTATAATTTTTTTGGAGTGTCACATCATACCCGTTATGTTATTACATTTAAAAAAGTACACTAAGGAGTTGTTAATTTTTTTGGGCGTGTCACATTATATCTGTCATGTTGGATTATCACATTAATACCTGTCACATTAATAAAAATGGAGATTTGGTGATAAACCTTCACTGTCTAATTTATCTTTCAAACGGACAAGAATTATATAAATACTTTCAAAACCCTGTAATATTTTAAAATTTGTTTCTTTTATTATAGTACCCTCATATCTATCAGCTCTCCTATTAAGTCATCCTCACAGTGTATTTCAGAGTAAAATTATTCAAAGTAAAACTTTACTCTGAAAGTACAATTTTACTTTGAATCAAAGTAAAATTTTATATCGTTAAGTAAATCGACATGTTTTTAACTACAGTAAATTTTTATTGTTACAAAAAATAAAATACATACTGAATGAACGAACCAAAGTCAAATTTTACTCTTAGATTTATTAACAAATAATAAAAAAAAATCCAATTGGAAACAACAAGGCGACATCTACAACTCAGATTCATGTTCTCGGAGGTATTACAACCACTTTCACTGCTTCGTCTTCTAAACATTCGAGTGGAAAATCTCCACGAACAGTGTTCTTCGACCAGCGGCTCAACAATAGCAGTAGCAACAACACAATATTTTTTCGATTTTCGAAGTTGAAAAAGAGTGAGAGAAGAAGAAGTTGAGGTTGTGGAGGACTGGTGAGGGTGGCGGTGACGAGGTAGATCGACAGCAATGGAGAGAGGTAGATCTATTCAAAGACAAATAAAAAAACAACCTCAACCTCACACGTAAGCGACAGGGACGCGACGACGGAGTTGAGCTTGATAGAAGAAGTAGTTGGAGATGATGATAATAAGACTAATAAAGGAGAAAGAGGAACAAGACGGAGGGATGGAAAGTCTTAATTGAGGGTATAATAGTCTGATAAAATATTTAAATAATAAATTTTGTCATTTATACATGACTTTATAATTATGAGAGGGTTTTGAAAGTATAATTTTTTTCTTAGTCCTTTTAACAATAAAAGGAATGTGAGAGAGGTTTATAGCCAAATTTTCCTAATAAAAAAAAAAGTACAACTGTCCACCAAAACACTATCAAAATTGAAAATAGGACCACAGAAAAAAAAACTCTTCACTAATAGAACTTAACAAAAACAATAGAAAAAATTTGAAACTAATTAGAATACTTATTTGTGAGATGTGATTTATTGGTAAACATTCTTTTTTATTTTCAAAGAAAAAGATAAATGTCGGTGCATTATTGAAATTTTGTTTTGCGACAACATTCCACTTTTTAGGAAATACGGTAAAAGTTATTTGTTTTTTAATTTCCTAAAACTATTTTCGCACAAAAATAAAGATAATATTAAAATGGTTAAGTGTTTTCAAAATTTAATTATTTGTGTATTAAAAACATGAAAAACATAAACGAATGAATGAAAACATAACCACATATACCATAATATATGCTGATCAAAAACATATACCGTAATATATAATATTTTAAATCAAGGCATATTTTGCAACAACAACAATGATTCATCCCCCCTTTTTCTCCCATCCCCTTTGACCCCCTCTCTCTCTCATTGGTTACATTTTCTTTTTCTTTTTCTTTTTTTTCCTAGTGAGGCATCACTATCTTTTTGTGTGTCCTTTAGCCTCTAAATTGTTATTATTAGGGACCTTAAAAAAAAATCCCCCAATAAAATTCAATACACATTTTTGTAGGGAGCACAAAAATAAATAAATAAAAAAATTACTCCTAACAAAATAAACAAAACTAAGCCTATACAACACAAAAACAACATTCACAATAAAAATGATTCACAATTTCCTTCTAACCTATAGAAGACAAAAACAACATTCAAAACAACATTCTCATTATATATTATTTTTGAAAGATAAAAAATATAGATACAACAATGATATCTATCTAGCAAAAATATTTGGAAAAAAAAACATCAAAATTTAAAAGGTATAAATCACACACTCTGTTTGGTTTCCATTCAAAGAATTTATTTTTCAAAAGGTTTCACTTTTTTATTTTTCGTATTTTTTGTTTTTATTGAATTTTTTTAATATTTTAAGTAATTTTTTTAATTTTTAAATACACCGAACATAAATACACTTAAAAAATATAATATTTGTAAAAAAATCTTTAAAAAATTCGCTAAATACTAAAAATACAAAAAAAAAATAAAAATAAAAATAAAAATTCAGTATATTTTTCATATTTTCATATTTGTGTGTAATTATTAATTTTTAAAATATTTTTTCACAAATATTTTACTATTTAGATACATTTAAGTAAGGTACATTTAAAAAAGTAAAAAAAAATTACTTAAAAATTTAAAAATATTTACTTAAAATAAAAAAATAAAAAATTAAAACCAACACTTTTAATTTTCGATGTCATCTACACCACACAAATTTCCACAAGTGCCATTCCGATTCCGGGCACTTTAATAAGTATTATATATATTGGAAAAGATGAAAAGGTCCCATTCCCTGTCGAATAGGTAAATGTCGGCCACATGGCATTGTGGGCAGCGAAAATATCTATGCGAAAGATTACCAGGTTGGCCGACCATTTGTTTAATAGCCACAAAATAAATAAAAGAAAAGAAAAGAAAAGAAAATAAAGACCAAAACAAACAAGGGGGTCTTCTGCAATATTGAAAGCTTTTGCTCTTAATATATTATTATATAGGCAGATTTGTTGCAGCTATATATATATATATATACATGATATGCCAATTTGCAGAAGAAAAAGAGACTTTCTCTGAGTAGCTTCTTCTTGCTATGGCAGAGGAAAACCAAGAAACAAAGCTTCCCCAAGGGCAGATTGGTCATGAATCAACAGTGTTACCACCAAGTGAGTTGGTTCTTATTCCTCTTCTTTTATTAGGTTTTATATATGTCCAACCATTCACTCTTAATTTCCAATAATACAAAGATTATATAATTCTCAAACTCACAATCATGATGGCCCTTTTTGATCAACAAAAGATTGGAAAATAATAAAATAACATTTAAAAAAAAAAAAATCGTACCATTGAATATATGATAATTCAACCCTGTCATCTACATGGAAATGGGGTCAACAAAAATGGAGATATTATTGTCTCCAGTCTACTGTGGATTGGATGGTATTTGTTGGGTCCCGTCAGCTTACAACAAAAAATAGATGTTATATTTTCAAATTATTCAAATATAATGAAATGATATGGTTTTGATTATCAAGTTAATCTTTTTTTTCTTTTTTTTTTTCTATAACCGACCTATACATCAAGCTCAACAAAATAAATGATACTTTGGTTATCATGATTAAATTTATGACAAATTAAAAATTGACACATAATTTGCTATGTTTGGAACAGGCAGAGCTCGGAAAACAACATGGCCGGAGGTAGTAGGACTACCGGCGGAAGAAGCAGAGAGAAAAATTAAGGAAGAGATGCCGGGAGTTCGAATTCAGGTGGTTCTACCAAATTGCTTTGTCACCATGGATTTCAATCAGCAACGGGTCCGATTGCACGTTGATTCCTCTGGAAAAGTAGCCAGGCCTCCTAAAATTGGCTGATTAAATTAATATATAATATACAATATTGTTGTTTCCATTCCAGCAATGTGATTGATTACTTGCTTTCCTGTTCATCCAATGAAAACAAATGTAAGAATTTGAAAACTAGTTTTAAAACTTGCATGCAATCCAAAGGTGTTTGTTGTGACCACTGAATTTGGGCTCTTCTAAGAATTGAAAATGAAATGAAGGATTGAGTAGTTGTTTAGATTGATTGAATTAATGCGATTTTTTTATGCATTTGATAAATAAATATTGAGTGTAACAGTATTGAGCAATAAAAAAGTGTAAATAGAATTAGGCGGATAAGTTTTATTTTTCACTGTTTTGACTAATAATATTCAAATAGCAGTGTTCCAGTGATAGTAAATAATTTCTCGAATAAATGACATGTCCAAATAGTGGCACGCAATTGTAAAATTAATAAAGTGAGTTAATTTTTTGATTTTTTTTTTGACTATTTTAGTCTGGGACTAAAAAGTTTCGTTTGGAAAGAACTTTTTGATTTTTTTAACTTTTTGTAAAAAAAAAGAATATAATGATTATGGATTAGATATAATATTGTCTTATTAAGCTAAAAAATTTATTTTATTTTTTTGGGTACTATTTTAGACAAAAAATTCCAAACCCATACTTTCCAAACGAGCTCAATATAGTTTAGAGACACAACATGAATCGGGCATAAATGTCTGCCACTCTCACAGGAAAAGTATGTCACACACTTGTATGAGCCTCCCATAGATAATTGTTGAAAGAATTTCTGTATTATTGATTAATTTATATTGATTGGTGTGTGTATTGTGTATATTACAAGGAGTTATATAGGAGAGGATTTGGGAGTAGGTGAAGGTGGTAGTGGAGGTGGTAGGTGGAGTGGGTGGTGTGGTAATTTACACAATTTACATTTTACATTAACAGCCCCCCTCAAACTCAAGGAGGATAGGAACTAACCAACTTGAGTTTGGAGAGAGTAACAAAAACAGAAAAATAAACTGATAAATAAAATAAAACAGGATAGGAGACACGGTATGGTCGTGTCAGACCGTTGTAGCAGACAGTTTACGGGGTCATGTCGGACCGTTGACGCAATTGTAAAATTAATAAAGTGAGTTAATTTTTTGATTTTTTTTTTGACTATTTTAGTCTGGGACTAAAAAGTTTCGTTTGGAAAGAACTTTTTGATTTTTTTAACTTTTTGTAAAAAAAAAGAATATAATGATTATGGATTAGATATAATATTGTCTTATTAAGCTAAAAAATTTATTTTATTTTTTTGGGTACTATTTTAGACAAAAAATTCCAAACCCATACTTTCCAAACGAGCTCAATATAGTTTAGAGACACAACATGAATCGGGCATAAATGTCTGCCACTCTCACAGGAAAAGTATGTCACACACTTGTATGAGCCTCCCACAGATAATTGTTATAAAATTAATTAATATTTAAAAAAGAAAAAGAAAAAAAGTGAAGTTAATCTATAAATCTCTTCTCTGTTAAAAAAATGAAAAAAAAAAAATTATAAATCTGTTCTCACCTTGTTTAGCCTGTGTGAGAGACCGATTTGAGTATACTATGGGGGTTAGATCTAAAAATTTAGAAAGAATATTCCTATATCATAGTGCTTGTTACATTTTGAATTCATTTTGATTGAAGTTCATTGCTCGTTTATTTATTTATTTATTTTCTATTAAGGGTATGTTTGGCATAGTATTTTGAGGCTATTTTAGTTATAAAAAGATAAAATAGACTAAAAAGTTAATAAGACAAAATGTTACATTCAAACCATAATTATTTTATTTTTTTCTCTTATAAAAGTCAAAAAAGTCAAAAAAACTAAAAAACCTATCATAAATGAGACTTTTTAGTCCCATATTAAAATAGCAAAAAAGTCAAAAAATTAAAAAAATCAACATACCTCCCAAACGAAAGCTAAGGCCTATTTTGAGGACAAAGATACAAGTTGCTTTTCTTTTGAGCCAAAAACCATGTGGTAAGTAGAAAATAAGTCAACTTTTCAAATTATCAAAATACCTTCCTTGATGTGACACCAAAATATCCTCATATGATGGTAAAATTGTAATTTCACAAAATTGCATTGGGTAATACGGTCAATTTATCCATTTGCCTAGTGATTTGATATTATAAACAAATAGTATTAAAAAAAAAGAAAAAATAACTTTTTTGATCTGGCTGAATGATTTTGTGAATAAGACAAAAAAAAAAAAAATTAGGCCTCGTTTAGGAACAGGCTAATTTAGTAATTTTTTGGCTATTTGGTTAAAATATGAGTTAAAAAAAACTAAAATGTTTGGGAAGACTTTGACTTTTTACGAAAAAATGTGTAAAAAATAGAGAGAAAAGAGAATCTTTAACTTTTTGGTATGAGTTATTAACTTTTTGACCTTTTTAATAATTTTTTGACTTTTTAACTAAAGTGACTTGTTGCCAAACGAAGCCTTAGATATAAACCAAAAAATAACTTATATCTCAAGAGTGGAACGTAGAAAGACTTGAGAAAATCTCAAGAGTCTCAACAGAATCAAAATAAGCCTTAATTGAGTGGAACGTAGAAAGACTTGAGAAAATCTCAAGAGTCTCAACAGAATCAAATTAAACGTATTGTGGAAGAAAAATTGAATGTAATGGAATAATATAAAATGTCACAGAATGTAATATCACAATCAGAAATGGTAGACCCATGGAGTGGTCATAAAGTTTAGAAGGCGAATTGAGACTTAAGTCACCTTCCCCTAGCAAGAATGTATACATCTTTTGACTGACTTTGGGCTAACTTTTGACTACTTGATGCTTACGTTTGGTTTGCTTTCACCAAAGAAATAAAAAAACAAAAAAAAATCATAAAATGGTTTGCATAATTATTATTGAGAGAATCACATCCAGGTCGGAGAAAAGAAAAAAAAAAAAAAAAAAAAAAATTATCAAAACATAAGGGTAAAAGTGAGACTTGCATCCCAACAACTTTTCATTTGCATTTCAACACAAACATACTTGCACTCCATATGTTTTGTAATTTTTTTTTTTTTTTTATTTTTATTTTTATTTTTTTATTTTATCTCCGCCTACATGTAATTCCCACTTTATTATTTATCTATTTTCATCCAAAACTTTTTATATCAAGATGAAACAATTCTCAGAGTTGTGAGAGGGATATAAAAAAAAAATAATAAATTATAATATGATCCTTACATTTTAAATTTAGTCATTTCGTTCAAGTTGAAAGCTAAAATTAACAATTTTGAGACATTTATCACTCTTTCGAGATTTACACATAAAAAAATTTAAAAAAAATTTGAACGGAATAACTAAATTAAAGCTAAACTTAAAATATATCAGCATTTCCTGTTAATTGATCTAGCAATTGACTAATGCAGGGGTGAAATTGTAATATGATTTTAAACTTTAAAGTAGGGATTGTAATTTAAAGAATGTGAGAGCATCAGCATCAGTATCTTCAAAATAACAAAAAGTTAATATATAGCTAATAAATCATCAAATTTTCCCTCCATCAGTTTCAACAAATTTTTTTTAAATTAACTTTTTGTTAAATTTGCTACAGTAACTCGTCTGATGAAGCAAGCAACTGTTCATCACTAAAACACGCGATTTGGGTGTAAACAGACATCCGCTTGGAAGTCCGACTGGTCAACCCGCCGGTCAACCGGTCAACGGCAATTTTTTTTTTCCCTCCAATTTTACCTTTTGTAAAACATAAGAATTGTTTGGTTGATAACTCATCAATTTTTTTATAAAAAAAAAATAACAAATATTTTAATAGGATTAAGTTAAAATAGAGAGTTTGATGTAGTGAGTAACCAGCTAAAATAGAAAAATGACTTTTTAAGTTATAATTTGACTAAAATTTTGAAAAGGCTGATACTGATACTTTGAGGGTGGGAGAATTTGTCTTAAGAAATAATATCAGGGGCCGCTCTCCAAACTACACGCACCATCGCTTCTAGGATCACAACCATATTACAACACAATTTAGAAAACATTTTTCAGAAAGTTTATTATCAATTCATCAAAACCAGCCCAAATCTGCAATACACAATAGTCCAAAACATGGCAGCAAATACCCAACAGCTCGACTCGAGGCTTGATAATATTGAAATTCTCTTTCCGCTCTCCAAACTACACGCACCATCGCTTCTCACCAAGGATCCTCTAGAGTGATTTTTTCCTAAAGTTTTCTAGAGTGGTACATTGTGTGGTTGAAATTTACTAACAAGTCACATCAATTTTTCTGATGTGACTTGCCAGTAAATCTCAACCACACAATGTAGCACTTTAGGAAACTTTAAGAAAATTTCACTCTAGAAGATCCTTACTCATCGCTTCTAGGATCACAACCAAATTACAACACAATTTAGAAAACATTTTTCAGAAAGTTTATTATCAATTCATCAAAACCAGCCCAAATCTGCAATACACAATAGTCCAAAACATGGCAGCAAATACCCAACAGCTCGACTCGAGGCTTGATAATATTGAAATTCTCTTTAAGATATGAACAAGTTGTTTCGATCCCATATTGTACCCAAAATCTGAATGCAACGGTACAACACAAAAGGCTTCAACTTTAACAGTCCTGGCAAAAGAAATAGACTTTTCCAGGAAATTGTTTGCTAAGAAAATGAGAAAGAAAAAAACTTTGATATCATTCTATGCAAAGTGAAAGAGGCAAAGTAGAAATCGAAGCAAAACTCGCATTGACATCCCCAACCGTCGATGAATTTGAGCCCTTTTCAACAAACGACGACGACGACAAATACTGATTCACAAAACCATCAAACACTTGATCATCGTCGGACGAGCTTGGCGCTTGCAAAACCTCCGGGACATCAATCTCACCCTCCAAGTACCTCACAACTTGCCTCATACTAGGCCTAGTTAAAGCCACGTTGTTTGAACACATCAACCCCAATTTCAACACCATCAAAACCTCAATCTCATCAAACTCACCTTTCAGACTAGGGTCCACTACATTTAGGAAAGTCCCTTCTTTCCAATTGTCCCAAACCCAATCCACCAACACCAACTCTTCAGGGGCTGCCTTGGGCTCAATGGGTCTTCTTCCACATGCAACCTCAAGCAACAGTGCACCAAATGCAAACACATCAGACCCTGTTGTGGCCTTCCCTGTCCTAGGCAGCTCCGGCGCAAGATACCCTAAAGTCCCCACCACTCTCGTCGTGCTCGGATTCGCTCCGTGCTCGTACAATCTCGCAAGCCCAAAATCACCCAATCTACCATTCAATTCCCCATCAAGCAACACATTACTCGCTTTAATGTCTCGGTGTATCACAATTTGCTCATACCCTTCGTGTAAATACAATAGTCCTGAAGCAACCCCTTTGATGATTTTGAACCTCTGTTCCCAGCTCAATTTTTGGTTTTGTTCATCAAACAAGAACCTATCTAAGCTTCCATTAGGCATGAAATCGTAGACAAGTAGTAAATCGCCTCTGCGTCGACACCAACCTAGTAATTGAACAAGGTTTCTATGGCGAAGCCTGCCAATGCTGGCGATTTCTGATACGAATTCGCGCAAACCCTGCTTTGAATTGTGCGAAATTCGCTTCACAGCGACTTGAATCTTTGGGTTTGGAAGTGTTCCTTTGTACACTTTTCCAAACCCACCAGCCCCAAGAAGCTCCTTGTCCTTGAAACCTCTAGTAGCTTTCTTAAGTTCTTTGTATGAGTACCTATGTGGGCCTATTTCAAGCTCCCATTCTTCAATTACATCTCTGTTCTTAAATTTCCTAATCAAGTATGCAACAATCAAGATCATAGCAACCAGGAAAACAAATGAAGAACCTGAAACACCGATAACCAGAGCTTTGTCTATCTTCTTTATTACAGGCAATGATGGCAGAGAATTCAAGCTAAGCGATTTGGAAGCTCCATTGATTTTGAAGCTCCAACCCAATACGTAATGCGAGCTAGCGAGCAAACCAGTGGAAGAAGAGAACCCAATAAACATCCATTCATGGAGAATTGGAGAGAGATCGAATTTCAAAGAAAGAATTGGCAATCTGGGTTTCGAAGAAGAAGGCGAGATTGTAACATTGATAAGAGTCGTAATCGAATCGTATTCAATCCAAACCATGATGGGTTTTCCACCTTTCAGATTCAGATCTGCCGCAACAGATTTGTTCGATGCCATGGTGTTGATGTTGATGCCAACATGGTTATCATTGATATCTCCGAACTCGAAGTCCTGAACAGTGTCGAACTCGACTGCGAACAAGTGGTTCGAGAAATTTCCGATGTCGGAGGCGTTGAGGAGGCCCAGGTACTGACTAGGAAGAGCTGTTGGGAGGTCTATGGAAGGAGAGAGAGTGAAGGCGAGTCCATGGCCGCCGAGTTTTGGGTATTCGGGGACGATGACGAAGGCGAAAGAGGTAGAGAAAGAGAAAGCAGAGCCATTGGAGGAGTTCTTGAAGTGAAATGGAGAGGTGTGAAAAGCATGACCCATTTTTCTACTGGTCTCGTTGGTTAATCGAAGAATGCCATTTTTTTGAAACTCGGATATTCCGGAGAGAGTGATGTTTGTGTTGAGTTCATTGAATCCGGAGTAGAAAAGCTCGTCGAGCTGGGACGAAGATGGGATTGACAGGAAGAAGATGGAACAGAGGAGTATGAAAAGATGTGACATTTGGAGAGAGTGAGATGAATTGAAGATGTTTGAAGAATTGATTTGGGTTTGGTGAGGTCTATTGAGGATGTTATTAGGGGTTTTTTTTTTTTTTAGTTATTGTTTGAAGATGCTGAGGAATGTGAGGGTGTTTGTGCAGTGAAGAATAAATTGGAGTAATGAAGTAATGAAGGAGGAGAGAAAGGAGGCAGGGTGCATAAGACTTTTGCGTGAACTGATGGTCTGAGATACGAGAAGTTAATTTATTAGGGTTCGCAAGCCCTTCTTTGGGAGTGTGGATTGATTTTTTTGACTTTTTAGGCTCTGTTTGATTGTGAATTGAAAATGTAATTCTACAAGTGTGTTTCAGTATGATGTTTGGTTGAGTGTTTGGAATCAATTTTCAAAATCTCTGTCGAGAGCTCTGTGCATCAGCAACATTTTTTGTGATTTTTTTGCCTCAGGAAAGACCGCCTGGATGTCCATGGGGTCTTCCGCCCGGACATCCCTAGGGACATCCACGCCCAGATGTCCTCTGCGGTACAGATTTTTATTTTTATTTTTTTTTTTTTGCAATTCATTTATATAATCGGGAAAAATATTTTCTGAAAATTTTTAAATTTTTTATGTGCTTTAAAATAATTTTGAATTGTATGTTTAGTTATGAGTTGTAAATTTTTGTATCACATATCAAATGTCACATCAACAATTCCAGGAGGCAGGGTGCATAAGACTTTTGCGTGAACTGATGGTCTGAGATACGAGAAGTTAATTTATTAGGGTTCGCAAGCCCTTCTTTGGGCATGTGGATTGATTTTTTTGACTTTTTAGGCTCTCTTCGGTTGTGAATTGAAAATGTAATTCTACAGGTGTGTTTCAGTATGATGTTTGGTTGAGTGTTTGGAATCAATTTTCAAAATCTTTGTCGAGAGCTCTGTGCATCAGCAACGTTTTTTGTGATTTTTTTGCCTCAGGAAAGACCGCCTGGATGTCCATGGGGTCTTCCGCCCGGACATCCCTAGGGACATCCGCCCAGATGTCCTCCGTTGTATAGATTTTTTTTTTTTTTTTTTTTTTTTTTTATTTTTTTTTTTTAATCGAAAAAAAAAAAAAAAAAAAAAAAAAAAAAAACAAAGAGGCAGAACTGCACACCAAACTCATTTTATTCATGTCGGGGCTCCCCCCGGTCACCATTTTACACCAAAAAAAAAAAAAAAAAAAAAAAAAAAAAAAAAAAAAAAAAAAAAACAAAAACCC